AACAGACGCCTGCTAATAATTCTGCAGAGCCAATTGCAGCCCTCACATGGGTATTGGCAAATGAAGTGGGACTGTTACATAGTTCCTTTCAGCCCTTCAGACAATTTGAGGTGCGATAGTAATCCCTAGTGCTGGACTGTGGATTTTTTTTGTGACAGAGGAACCAGGCATTGTTAGGGAAAGCTTTCTTCACAGCACATCCCAGTGATGTGCCCGTACTGCATTGTGGAAAATAAATAAACAAAATGCTGCATGGACACTGACATGCTGGAAACACTTGGGCAGCAGGACATACACTCACTTGCTTAAAGTTAAGGAACAGGACACTCCCTTTAATGAAGCCTGCACAGAAGTAGCAGAGCACCATTTAGTCCAGGCAGTTCATGGAAATCATTTGTAATTGATGGTATTGTTCTTTTTCTAAAAAAAACCCCAGGGCAGTCAAACACTCCATACTTGGTTTCTGAACCGCAAGATTTGATCAGCACTGGTACTTACAAGATGTTTTTCATAAACTGGGGAACTGGGCTTGGACAACACACAAGGTACTGAACTAAATGCTTGTTGTGGAAGAGTTTACAGATGTTACAGTTTTTTTTAAATTAAAAATAAGCCAAAAACGGAATTTCTGAATTCTTTTGCATTCCCTAAGTTAAGACTAGGGATTGCGATCAAAGTATTTTACGTTGTAGACATTGGAAGAAAAACTTCTGTAAAACCAACCACTATTGCAGGAACTGCAATAATCGCTTTATGCACAGTAACCAGCACAAACTGGAGAATTTCAGTAGTAATTCATCATTTCCCCTGACTGGAACATCGTCTTCATATATATGTAAGAAGCAGTAATGTGTTTAGCTCCTTCGTTATTTACTGCTCACATTTTATGAGAATAACATCTTTCAGTTGACCTTCTATGATAAAATAACTGCACAGCACAATCAGCAGAGTAATCATGCTATTACCATGGATGGAGAAAGGAAGCTCCTCCTTTCGTCCCTTCATCCCCCACAAACATACCATTATCTTCTGATGCTTGTGCTTTTAGAGCCTCTTTAGAAATGCCACTTCTAATATCCTAACCAGGCAAATTATCTGCATTTGTGCAGAATCAGAGCTGCTGCTCCAGATCTAATTAATAACGTCAACTAGACAAAGCTCATTAACATCACAGCTTTTTGTTCTTGCGTATTCTTTAGAAACACCCATCTGGATCGGATTCTGTCCTCAAAAAAAAAAAACCACGTAAGAGCCAGGGCAGCAAAAGCCCCGAGATGGGCTCCTACTCAGAGATGAACTAAGGAAAACAAAGTGAAGTTGCTGATACAAATGCTTTTGAAAATAAAACTAAAATATTTAAATGAAAATTGCAATTATATGTAAATATTATTGTGGCATATGCTCCTGTAGTACTTACCTGCTGAATGAATCATCTTTCCTGAGACACTAGAAGACTACCTCACTGAGTTTATTGTGCTAGGAAGAGTGGACAGTATGACACTAGCACAGCCCTAGCTACACAGAATCCCTCTCTAGTGGCTACTTTATGAGGATGACTGCAAGCCTAATAACCTCAGAGATCACAAATATTCTTTTAGTTCAAGCTAAAGAAGTCTGCGTACACCTGAATTGTAACCCCAGTTATGGTCACCGAGCCCATACAGCAGGGCTGTGCACTGGATCACTGGCAGATGAACATGAAATTCTAGGCAGCTCCTGAATCAAGCTTGTTAACACAAGAGCCTAAGCCCCATTAACAAAGTGGATACACAATTTTGGCATTACTCTGAAAGTTTTAGTGCTGCATATACCAAGCCTCCTGATTTTACTCTGCCTACTAATCTCAAAGGTTAGCAGGATGTAAACGAGGTTGGAGACAGGAAGCTTACCTCAACTCTGGATCCAGGGCCACATTCAGAATCTCTTCACTGAAATGAAGAATCTTGGACTGGTCTTCACATTCTTTTGCTGATGCTCAAGTAGAACCATTCTGTGGAAATAGGCACCCCTTTTTTTCAGACAGTATTAATGCTAAAACAGCTCCTTGTAACCCTACATTGAAGTTACTAATGCATATCTTTACAAAGGAATTAGTTCCTACATCTATGTTTTGACAATACACTTACTGGAATATTTTTCATGCACAAGGTGTACAAAATGAGTCAATGCAATGTTTTTCTTTAAACCACTATCGTACACGAATTTTGTTAAACAAGGGCTCTAAGCCCCTCAAATACAGACAGTATCTGGCATCCTGATTGTGGCACAATGTCATTTTCTGCCTTTATGTTGTTCTTGTTGGTACAGGGCATGTCAATGGCTATTTTAAACCTCTCAGCTATGCAGGTGGGCTGTCCATTTTCAAGGCGTTGTGAACGCTTCTCTCATGGCCGTGGTCCTTTAAAATTCTCCTTTGGTTCCACTTAACAGTCACAAGTTCCTGTTGAAAGACATTCCCACTCCTGTAGGCCAGAAAGAATTCTGAAGGGCTCTGAACAGTTTGAGTGCTGGACACAGCAAAAAATAAAGCCAAACAAAAACTCAAACCAAAACGCCTCATAGTATCCATAGCAATCCTTTATGGTTCCTGTCCAGTCTCCCTTTCAAGTGATGCAGTATGGGCAGCATCTTTCTACTGCCCTGCCAATGACACTGTAACCACTGTGCATTCAAGGACTTTTGAAGACTAGACTAGCTGGAACGTTAAGTTGGGAATGTGCTATTTTGTCTCCAATCAAAGTTGGATCCTTTTTAGGTTCGGATGAATGATGCTTTCCCTAAACCCACTACAAAGCTCTGCCACTTGCAGGACATTTCCACGTATTCCACAGCAACCACAAGTTTGGCATGGAAAACCCCAGACATGAAACACTCAAGGCAGTGAGTGGCTTTACACTTAAGCAGAGAATGCACAATTGAGAAAAGCTCACAGGAAGGGCATGAGAACAACCATGCGTATGAGTTGATGCAACAGGAAGCTGGGCCTTGCAGTTAATGTGTTTCCTGTATCCTCCTTCCCTCTGTTCCCCTGTTGTTTCTTTTCTTTTTCTTTTTTCTTTCTTTCTTTCTTTTTTTTTTTTTTTTTAATATTGGGGCTCTGGTGATTTGAAGCCTCTTGGGTTATTTGAAATTACAGCTTCAAGGGTGGCACTTTGGAGCAAGCTGGCACATAATGGAAGGTGACACTGTCAGATCCCTTGCTTATGATGTATTGGTAACAGGACATCTCTTCAAGGCTCAGGGGCCACACGGGTGAAAGTCAAGGGGGTAGAGGGCTCTCAGGGCCCCTGGTGGGTTACGTGGTTCTTGTTTCTGAGGATAGGGTCCTCATAACTGCTAGCGCAAGGTGGCGTGGAGGCTTCCAAGGGTAAGCCCTGCTGTTGGTATCCATAGTTGACATTCCCACAGGGGAAGTGGCGAAGCCTAAAGAGAGGCACTTCTTTAACACTTGCTGTTAGGGAAGACGGCTCTAATAGCAGGGAGGAGCCTGGCAGCCTGCCAGTCACAATGTTGGGCCCTACAGTACAGTTTCCTTCGTGCCCCAAATTCTCCCTCTCAGACATTTCTTTCTCCAGCAGAGAACTGTTTTTGCCGGCCTGCTTCTCTGCAAACCAGGAACCATATGTCGGATTCCAGAGGTTGGTGGGCTTGTTTCTGGAGCCCCGGCCTTTGTGCAGCTCAGAAGGGGGATTGGACTGGGTGTAGGCCATGTTGATATGTCCCCCTGCTGAGGCTGACTGCACCTTCCCGGGGACCGGTGGGTCCAAGGCTCCCACTTTCCCTAGAGGTTTTCCAGTAGCGATGGCTGATGGCAGCGGGGGTGGAGACGGCAAAGCTTGCTTGTCATCCCTTCTGTCTTTGTGTGCGGAGACCAAGAGAGGAGGAATCCCTTCTGAATCTTCTGGGCGCATCGCTACCTTCTCCTCCTCTTCAACTGATGGCCCATATTCCACCGGTAAAGCAGTGTTGATGACATCTGGATCCTGCAGGAGAAAACAATGAGAATTTTTCAGTCTGCTATCACCCTGTATGTTCGGACTCAGTTATAAATCCAAGACAACTGACAGCTGTCATGGTATCATCACAGAACATCTTTCCCATCATGGGGCCCACATTTCACATGCAGGGGATGCTGACAAAACGCAGTTAGCTGAGATACAATGAAATACCCTTGAAGTCTTAAAAAAAAAAAAAAACAACAACAAAACCCCCACAACCAAACACAAACAAAAAACCCACCACAGAACAGCAAAAAGTACAATAATAATGAAAAAGATTTTTTACATCCAGCTGAATTTCCTATGGGAATGTTGTTTTGGAATCTTTACCATCTCAAAACATTCTCAAATATTGAGGCAGAGTTACAGCCATGAAAGTATTGCTTATACACAACAAGGGAGAAATGGGAATGTAGGCAGAAGGCAATACTGCCAAGAGTAGACCCTTAGAATCCTGAACCCACAGAGACTGGGGTTTTGAGCTATGTAAGCAGTTTTGAAAAATTAAACTGAGAGAAATGTGGTGATCTGGACAACCTTTAACTATTGCTAGACACCACAGATAACAGAAAACAATGCCTCCCATCCAAGGATCCAAACACACACGAAAAACAGATCAAGCCTCCCAAACAGCAAAGTAGACCCGTAATGCCTCCATTAATTACAGATAGGAAAGCAAGCTGACTGAGGAAAATAACCCGTGTGAGGCTGCAAAAGAAGAACCTGTGCTGACTCAGGCAGCAGAACATTTTCCAAACCATTCCCTTCTTTATAAGCTAAAAATGGTGGTAAAAATCAAATCTAATCCTGGAAAGCCAGCCACATCCTCCCCCTGCTGTCTAGCCTTGGAAGCCGCATTCTTTGCACCTTCTCTCTGTACCTGCTTCTCCAAAGCAGTCAGACTCAGAAGATTCCCCACAGCTGCAGAGACCACCTGGAAAAGGTTTTCTGAGTCAGGACCATCTCTGCTCCGTGCTCACCATGTCCCAAGGGTTACAAGGGGACAGAGTGGCTGACGTGAAGCACAAGTGCTTATGGATGCTGGTCTGTCTTGGGCCTTCAGCTTGCTAGAAATCTGTGCTTTTATAAGCAGAAGCAGAGCCACAGATTTCCTTTCCTCTGTACAGCTGGGTGAGCGTGTGCTCTTTTGCTTTTAGGCAACGAAAGACAGAAGGATCAACCACGTAATGTTGTGAATGGCCCATCAGGTGGTCCCAGGCTAATGCTAGTCTCTCTGGACTGCAGTAACGCAGTACTACTTTCTCCTCATTTTACACTCTGGCTTGCCTAGACTGCTCCTCCCCATCCCTCTCAGGGTAGCTGAATGAAGACTGATACCTGAGTGCAGTACTCAATCCTCTCCAGGATTATGGCAAAGTTTGGCCTGTCTTCAGGCTGGTGCTGCCAACACTGGGTCATAATGCGGTAACTGAAAGAGCAAAATGAGAGAAGCTCATAAACGGCAGATCCTGTTGGTACATAGCAGCTAGTCACTGCAGCCTGGAAACCGTAAGCACGCATTACCGCTACAGCTTCTAACAAATAAGGGTGCTCAGCATTCCCCCAGTCAGATGACTAATGCATAGGTAACCATTAAAATACAACCACCAGGGGGTGAAATCTGTGACACATCAGAGAAAGAACCCCTCCACCTCACTCGCTAGAGGTAGGCTGCAGTTTCACGTTGAACCCGAGACACAGAAATATTGCACAATCGTTAACCGAACAAGCAGTGGTCAGTACTTTTCACAGGGGCCCTCTAAAGCAGGTGCCACTGCCAGTAGAAAACTCCTTGTCAGGTTCAAAAAGGTAGGTCAGCCAAGATAAAAGCAATCTCAGAAGTCATTAACTTTTGACTAGAGAACAGCATTAAAAACAGAAATTCATTTGCATTAATACATCTAAGTTTAAATCTCATACACAGGGCCAGGGCAGTTTTTAGGTGGATCCATCCTTCCTCCATTGGTTACGAACTCCAGAACCTCTTGGTTACTTTTGCTAGGGTAGGGCATATATCCCAAAGAGAATATCTCCCACAGCAATACACCAAAGGACCTGAACATAGAAGAGAAGTAAAACAAAAAGAATAATCATCATCATCATTCACAGGATATGCCTTTAGATGTAGTATTGTCAGTATTGCTCTTTGCAGTCCGTACTCAGTCGACTTGTGGAATTCACTGTTGTGGGACTGAGATGCGAACAAGCTGTATAGTTTTAAAGGTGGACTCTGAATCATTTCATTAATGCTAACAATTGACTATTAGATGAGTTAAGTCCATGATACAGGTAGGTAAACCTCATTGCTTTGCCCTTGTACTCAGCCCTGTTCAACTAGATACAAGAAGTGTGGAACAGACGATGTGTTTCTGAGGCATCAGCCACTGGAGGCTGGACTGAGGGGAGCAGTGGCCTGAACACCCATGACAAACTTTTCCTCTTGAATAAGCAGCTGTGCTTGAAATAATGGTGTGAGTGAATCCTCACTGCTGACTCTGAGCCGCCTTTCTACGTCTCGGAGGGTACGACAAAAACATTCCCTAGCTTATACCTCACTCCTGGGCCTGTGCGGTGTGGTAGGCAGTGCCCTGGAATAATAGCTGAGACAGGGCCCCTTCCAAAGCGTTCATTTGGCTGGATGCTTGGAAATTACGATCTTGTGGATTAAACTGCAGCAAAGCTACGAGCAGCATCAGGCAACTCATCCTCTTGGTGCTGACAGGCAGCAGCTCCGCTGTATCAGAGAGCCTGACTTAACCTGTCTGCTAGGACTCAGGAGCTCTGTCCTGACCACACAGCTCTTTCCCTCCACACACTTCCTGAGCTCTTCTCCCCACTTTGCTCTTCATCTCCTCCCAAATCACAGTCGCTTTGGCTCCTGCACCCGTAGCTTCCTCTCAGCACTACAGTAAACTAGGTGGGGCTAGGCTGTGATACAAACAGTGCAAGCAATGGCAACAGAGACCTGCTTCTTGGGGTTGAGCCCTCACTGCTTCCAGTCCACGAGCTCACACAGTTTTCCTCCCTCCTCCTCTGGCCACTGGAAACTCGGAGCTTACAGAGCTTACAGTGGTGCCGCAGGCCAGGAGAAAGATGAAAGCCACAAGGTATTATACCCTTCCCCAAAACTACGGGATGGATTCTGCCTGCGGTCTCCTGTTAAGGGGCTGCTTTCTCTAGTGTGGAACTGGCATTTTCCTCCTAGGAGAAAACAAGGCAGCACCTAAGTCTGCCTCAGCCTCCCTTCCCTGCCTGCTCGGTTCCCCAACAGAGCCTGCCTTTGCACGGGTCTGATCTTTCTGGTCCCTGGTCTCCTCCAAGATTACTGGCTCTGAAAGCCCTTACTTCTTTTTCTAATAAGGGGGAAATGAACACGAACGTGTTATTTTTCAAAATATTTGCACTTTACAAAACAGTTTAAAATACACACACACACACACACACACACTCACACACAAAGAGAGAGAAAGGAAGCGCACCATGTGTCTGTTTTTGATGTAAATATCCCCTCCATGAAGGCCTCAGGAGGCATCCATTTGACGGGCAACATTGCACACCCACCCTTCCGATAATAGCTGGCTCTGCAGAGAACAAACAAAATGAAGAGTCAGCCAAGAATTAAGAAAATGTCATTAATCAGTGTTTTTATAATTAAAAACAGTAAAGTTATCAGCCTGAGGAGGGGCTTATTTAAGCAAAACAGTGTGGCAGACAAAACACTGAAGAGACCTACTTCTTCTCGTAATAGTAGAAACTGGAGGACAACTAGTGGAAACTGGCAGACCATGTAAGGATGCTCTGTGATCTCCCCCACTTCAGGCCGATGCAGTCAACCTGGGTTATCCTGTGTGCATACTCCCCAGTGAATTTCTCAAACAGTAAGCTGCTGCTGGCAAAGCCCTCCTCTCCCCAAAAGTGCTTTACAGCCACAGCAAGATCTCCAGCTCATCTCACAAGTGGTCACATTAAGCATCCCCGCCAAAAATAAACAGCACCTGTCCCAAATGTACCCATTTACCGCTCCAAAGCACTGCAAGTGAAATCCAAAACCCTTAGCAAAAACCAGGAGCTGGATGAGGAGAACGCTCGGCCCTTATAGCCAGGGGCAGGAGTTACAAACATCATCTCCCGTGCTCCTGAGGCAGTAAATACATCAGTCTCTTTGTCACTTTAATTTAAAATAAAACCTACAAGCCCCAAACCCTCTGCTGACAGCTGCAGGAGGCTGTTCATGCAAGCAGGTACCACTGTTTGTAACTACACAGTCCGAGGATCCAAAGGGTTTTCCTGGACAAAAAACATGCACAAACTTCAAAGGCACCTTTGAAATTTCAGCACTAAAGCATTCATCTTGGCAGGCGGTTCTGCTGCTTGTGCGAGTGTGACAGATGCTACTTTGTCCCACCTGACAGTGGGGCAGAGTGGGGCTCTTTGTGAGGGAAAGAAAAGAGAGGGGAAAAAAAAAAAAGCAGCTCACTGTTATTCTATTTTGAAGGTAGCTCTCTATTTGCATCACCTCAGGCTGTGATACTGTCAGATCTCAAACTAAGAAGGACTAGGCTTGACTTAGTAATTGCCCAAGCAGGAGACCCCCAAGCAGGGAAAAAGAAAGGCAGGACACAGGAATAAACAGTTTGGGTAACAGAGTACAAGGTGTTTCTTCTTCTGAGTCAGAGGCAAATCAATTCCTCAGCACAGCAGGACAGGGTGCTGCACTTCTGGAGGTGCTACGTGGAAGATGAGAGATCAAACTGCAGCCCTGACTGCTTGTGGTCATTAAAGATTTCCTGGCACTTCCTGCAAGAGCAGAGTAGTTAACCCTGGGTCCTGGCTGAATTCCAGTTTGGCTGATTACATTTTCCTGACCTTCCTCTGCGCCTTCCTCCTTCATCTGCAGTAAATTGAGAAGATTTACCAATGATACCAAATCAAAGGGGCAGGGCTAGTATCAAGGAGGCAGATTAAACTCAGAATGATTTGGGACTCCAAAAAAAAAAAAAGGGCACATCAGTGCCACTCACTGTGGAAAAAGTAAAGGCGAGATATTGTGGTTAGAGTGCAAGACGGGGGAGAAATGCTGTCTGTGCCTATCAGACTTCACTACTCAGAAGAAAGCTCTCAGGAAGTGGGGAGAGTCTTCAGAGCATAGTTAAACTACAGGTGAAATCAAATACCAACACAGCATTAGCAGGGATTCATCAGGGTAGGATCACTCCAGTTTCGTGCCTTGCTAAGGTTAAACCGAGCAGCACACGAGTATGCTCTCCTAAGCAAACACTGCTCCCCCCTCATTTTGGTGAGCTTCCATTTGCTGATACCCTGGACTGAGCTCTGCTACCTGTATATGTCTCGGGCCATTCCAAAGTCTCCAATTTTAGCCACTCTCCCAGGCCCTCGACAGGTGAGGAGGCAGTTCCTGGCAGCAATATCCCTATAAGGAAAGGGAAGAAAAGCAACAGAAAGAGAACAGCAGCTTAATCTTTCAACAATTTTGCACACCAAAAGGAAAGCAAAGAACAATACCTGATTTCCTGAGGTGCAGACCCAACACCCATAAAAGTTAGTGTTCACGGAAAACTAGTGATGTCCCAAATTCTAACCTACCCCAGCATTAGAAGCAGTCCTGCTATTAGGACATTTCCTCTTTAAACTTCGTTTAACATCTTTCAGCTGAATGGATGGGTCTCCTGTGAACCTCCCTTCACCACAGGAGCTATTAAGTCTCTAGGGAGATGCAAGCAGGAGGGTTGATTTCAATAACATCAAGCTGTCTTGATCAATGCAGATATTGCTTTGAAGACAGGTATGGGCCTGAATCTGTGCATGCAGGCAAAGTTCCCTTTCCATCTCTTCTGGGCTAAAGTAAACCCTGAGATCTAATAACATGGTGGCACATCTTGTATATTACTCTTTCAGAAGCGTTAACTACAGTCCAGCTACAACAGCACCACAGCCCCTCGCAAAGCTGCACATTAGCACTGTGCTCTTCTGATGTAGGCAGGGTGGCCATGCGTGTTCAACAGGAACAAGAGCGGCACAGGAGCCAAAGAACAACTGCTGGCATCTCTGCCTCTCTTGTTATTGCTGACTTTCCAACTGGAAGGAATACAAATGTGGCTACTGCTAACCATGAGACATAATATGGGCATAAATGCTAGGACATTCCTCCATGATCTTCTAAAGTAAGGGTTGCCAAAGAGAAGATGCTGGGAAGCTGTGACACATGGGAAAAATACCTGGATTATTCTTACTATCTATTTTGGTTGCAATGCTTCTTTCAGTGTATTCTCAAGGGAGAGGCTGGCAGCCAGATTATTCCTCATCTCAGCCATCTGAGCGGGTCCAGAACCACAAAGGGAAATTTATTCCGCTTTGAAGACAAGTAGGGTACAATCCCTTCCCATCTGGCTTTTCGGGAAGAAGGTGGAGGAGCTAGCAGAGGTTCCAGATGGTAGAAACCCAAGCACTGGTGCAGGGAGCTTTTATCACTCTGAGAACTTTCTGTGTTTTGGGCTTTCTCTGCCCTATGCAGACTTTTTCTTTTTCTGCTGCTTTCTCCAGGGTGTTTGCGTGGTTCTGCTCAAGGTTATAGACAAAATTTTGAACACTTCTCAAACACCCTGTTCTGAGGGAGCAGAAAACAATAGTCACAAGGTGTTGTACTTCTTGCTATGCTTCTGTAGCCGTTCTCATCAGAAGCTTTGATAAAAACTACAAACCTCTGCCACAGGAGCCTTTCTGTTAATTGCTTCTATTATTCAGATTTTACCTATGTTGTTTAAAGGTATGCAGCCACTAGGGTGCAGCAGGACATACAGATACCGCACAGGGCATTATGCTCTCCTGCTGGCCCATATACAAGATATGTCCACGCTGACACAGGTGTGTTCACCTACCTGTGAATGAAGTGGTTCTCCTCCAAGTACTGACAACCACAAGCAATGTCACGAGCCACGTGGAGCAAGTCCAGCATGCAAAGGGAAGAGGGCTGGTTCTACCAAAAGGCAAGGGAGAAACTTGGGTTAAAAGCAAGAACACAGCAAGATTAATCACTGGTTCAGCACTGGGAACTGTTCAACAAGGGATGTAGCTTAGATGTTAATGCACAAAGGGATGTGTATGCTCATCACAGACATATGCAAGAGAGCATTCATATCCAAGAATTATTTGTCATACAAATCCCAGTAACAGAAAGCTGGATCAGACATCCTACTGCTGCAGGCCATTTCCCATCTCAATTGGGATTCTCTTTTAAGAGTTTCTCACTGTTTTTGAAAGATGCAAATGGATTTCCCCCAGTTCTCCTGGGAGACAGTTCTGCAGTTTCAGCATGATACAATTTTTTACGGAGCTATGTAGCTTGACTTGGTCCTCACTCAGTGTCTTTGTATTATTTCTAGGCCTTCTCTCTCTAAAGTCATACTGAGCAATGAGAATGACATTTTGAATACTGGCATGAGTCACATTTGCTCTTTTCCTCCTCCACATCTGTGTAGGTTTTACCTTGCCCCTTAGAGCATTGATACAGGTTTGCTTAGCCAATGGCTACAGAAGATTAAGACTGCCAGCTCCTTGTTCCTGCCCCTCTGATAGAGTCTCCAGCCCCTGCCAGCAGGAGCCACATGTTTTGTTTTAGTGAAAAGGCCAGGCTCAGCAACAGCTCGCGTTTGTGGGCCTCTGAGGCCAAACCATCAGATTCTGCCCTGAGGTGTGAATCAGTGATCCCTGCTGCCAGTCCTGTGGGGGAGGAGGAGATCATTTCTGCCAGAGGGATGATGACAAACAACTGGGTGGCACTTCTTCCACTGCAGCTATTGCCTAAGAAAGTACTTCTCTGTGGCCTTAGTTATTTGACTAAATAATTCCATCTTGCCCTCTAGCTCTCTCTTGTAACACCCACCATTCTGCCCAGTGACCAACAGGCTCACCCGAGCCTGCTGGCTTTCTCCTACTGATGCACATAGCAGCACTGGTCCTCCAGTGACAGGGACTTCTGGCTCTGCCAGCCTGTCTGTTGTGATGAAACATCTCTCTAGACTGATGTGATGTTGTGCTGGCTACCCCTCTGCTCTGAAACACAGCTAACTGGGACCGGAAATAGGTCCAGGTTCTGCAGCAGGCAGCAGCCAATAACTGAACACTGGGCATTGGCGAGAAAAATCAAAGCCCTAATGTCTTCTGAAGAGGTAAGGAAAAACCTAGCCTCAACATTTGACTACCAAAAGAATTGAAAAATGCTATATATCTCTGTGTGAACAAAGCCTGTTTTCTCACTGTGGTGTCATAAAACAAAATTATTTGTGACTATGTACCACCTGCCTATTTTTTATTATGCACACGGTGTACTTAATCGCATATATATATATATAAATATACTTGATTCTTTACACAAAAGACTGGACTGAGTGTCCCCCTCAAGTCTTTCCTTTTGTAGAATAACAATTTCCTAAAAACATTAAAACCTTCTTTCCCCTCTTTTTTTTGGGGAGGAGGGAAGGAGGAATCTTTTTTTTTACCTCTGTGTGGCTCACCAGCTACAACATGGCTATAATAAAGGCGGTTGCAGATGCTGTTTTTTCCCTTTTCAGCACACAACTAAAGGGAAACGAATCCCTTAGTCTACCCATTCTCTCCATTTCTGAGAGAGGCTCAGAAATCCGAGGTGAAAACTGAGTAACAAGCCCAATTCTTTACTGTGCGGCAACTGACTCCAACCCTGAGCTATACTGCAAGGCAATTAGCAGGCTGAAGCCACAAGCTGATTGGAACAGCAGAGCTTTTTTCTTTCCTTTTTCCTCCCTTTCTACGTGTTTTTCCCCCTTCCCTCCTTGGATGAACTCCTTCCACCTTTTATTTGGCTAAATAGAGCCCTAAAACAGATGCGACTTCCCAGCAAGGACAATTTAGCCAAGTAATTTCTTTGAAAAATGGAGAGTTTGGATGCATTTTGCAAGGGGAGCAGCCTTGAGACACCAAAGAATTCACTTCACTGCTGTTTACAGCCTTTGTTCCTCTGATGAATGGACTAGGCCAGCTGGAAAGCATCACTGTTTGGAGCAGTGGGCACACTGGAAACACTAGTACGACACTTCCCTGGATAAGGCTGAATCTTGCTAAAGGTGAATGACATTGTGTGATTATTGCTCTGTGCAACACACTGCAGCATATAAAGGAGGGGAAACTGCAGTTTATCTTCCAAAGCTGTTCTTTGACTGCTTTTCTAAGCGTGAGAAGGATCAATGCTGAACTTCCCAGAATGGAGAATTCTGCAATACTTGGACAAGCGAAGGCTCCAGCTCCAGGCATCTCGGAATCTATCAATCTGGACTGCCTCTCAGCAGAAAAGGAGGGAGAGGTAATCCTGTAAGATACGCGAAACCTTCTTAGAAATGGAACACAGAAAGCCTTCCAGGTCGTAAACCCTGGACCTGCAAAGAAGTTTGAATTTGAAGCTTATGGAGCGGGCCCACCGTTTTATGAGACGGATGCCTGGCAGGCATAAACTGACAATATCCCACGAAAGTCTACGGCATTACGTCAGTGGTGTCAGATGAAGGTTTGGCCTACATACGTGACAATTCTTGCTTCAAGTCCTGAAGAATCATTACTTGTTGGTCAAACATTGCTTTCATTATTTACACGAAGAACACAGATGAACAATATGCAATAGGCTGTGTTGGCATCATCTCGATCTCCCATGAGGTTGCATCCTATGTACTAACACCACCTTGCTGTGGCAGCTCTAGCTTCCCACTGCACAGTCCCTAAAAATGTCTTAAGCCCCCCTTTCTATCACTTAATCGTCTCCTCCTCCACCATTCCCTCTGCTCTCTACCATGGTTTTCACCAGCTGAACACGAAGCAGCGTGCTACGTGCCTTGCACCAAGTCACACATACTCTCACTGGCCAGCTGCAGGCCAAATGATACAACCGTTTCACTCACTCGTTACTCTAGAGTGGTGCTTTCATGAGCCTTGCGACACTTCTGCTGACTGAAATCAGCAAATGAATTGAAAGTTAGGGAGCAGGGAGAGACACTGGGGGATGAATGTAAAGAATTAAGAGGTAAATCTCATCCCCCTTGGAACCAGGCTGAAAGCAGAAGTAAGGTGGGAAAGACAGGGCAGTGAAGGAAGCAGCTGGAGAATACAAAACTGAGAAAAACAAGGGGAAACAAAAACAGTAGTGCAAGGAAGAGGAAGGTTAAAGTACAGAAAGCAGTAAACCATTATTACTGAATCAGCCAGCTAGCTGCTGTGTTCAGCTGATTCCTGTTGGAAGCAAAGCTCACTGAAACCTTCTGTTTACTGTGCTGAGCTCCTTGTTCTTCCTTTCCTTGAACAGGCCTGGAAAACCAGAAGTCGAGCCTGCTATCCCTGCCCTATGCCTCCCTTCCTTGGATCAGCAATAGGAGGAACAAAACAGCTCAGAAATCTTTAAGAGTAGAACAAGGAAAAGATACAGCCAGCAGTACTGAGCCACAGGCCCACGTACAGAGACTCTGTATACGCAGAGAGTAAGCCCACTTCTGTACTTGGATCCCATCTTTCATCAAGCACAATGCCCTGCGCACATCTCTTCTCTCCTCAATAAGTCTGTCTTCTAGCTTCATAGTTTCTGAGCCAGCAGAGAAGTAAATGCACCAGAGGCTGATTTCTCAGCACTCACAGCTGCCATTAGCCGTTCAGAAGCTGCCCTTGCAGCCAGATAATGAATTACCCTGGCACTCTCACCAGGCAACCATCAAACAGGATGGTAGCAGAAAGGGGGAAAGGTACGAGGAAGAAGGTGTTAGAAGTGGAGCTGAAATGTGTGGATCTGCATTTGCGCACAGTCAGGCGACCTGGGCTCCCCCAACTGTTAAAAAGGGACTGGAACCAGGGATTTGAATCAGCTACTGACTGCACATCACATTTGAACTTCATCTTTCCAAAAGTGTGACAGGCATTGGACAGAGCAGAAAACAGCGGCATCAGTCCCAGGTCTCCTCTAGTCACAGGAACAAGTTAAATGCTGGAAAGAGAGGAAGATCTTCAAGTTGCTGAGAGCAGGAAAGGCAAGGCAAGAAGAGGAAAGGAAAGAGAGACTGTGAAAGGAGAAAGAAAACAGTAAGGAAGCAACGTTTGCTGTGTCTGGGATGAATCGCCTGCCTCTCCTGACATTAGCTTTCACAGAGGTTGCACAGAGTTGCCACTAACAGACAGAAATGACCTGACATGCAAGGAAGAACTCATGAGTAGGGTGAGGATAGAGAGAAAGAAACCTGTCAGATCAGAAGGCTCCAGTGACTGCATCCTAGGAATATAAAGGACTTTTCATCCACAAAAACAATTGGTTCATTTTAATGCAAGGTCAAAATTCCTGCTGTTCAGGACTAATGTTCGCAGTGCTTCCTCAACAAGGCCCTGATCATTACTGAGCTGGCTTCTCCCTCTAATTTAACAAGCCAAAAGGAGGCTTCCATTGCGAAGAGATGGATGCCCTTGCCTTATACCAATCATCTGTTTCACCTGCCATTTCACACATCTACCACAGCCTGTTTTCGCAGTTTAGATCAAAGCAGACAACTACCAGACAGCTTACAAGGGCTTGTATCTCATCCAAGACTGAGGTGCACCCGGGCAACACAAACCCTTTTAGTAGGTCTGAAAACTAGACTGCAAGGAAAAAATAGAGAGTCAATTTGTTTCCACATGTCTCAATGAAGACTCTTCTCTATATCCGTTAGAGCCAATTCCTATCTTTTCTGCATGGATAAAATCCAGCATTTTGCATTTTTGCAACGAAAGGCAGAAACAAAGTATGAAGGTAGGATATGGCACTAAACTCCAACAGCATCTGGGGGGCCTTTCTGATCCAGTAGCCTGGACTGTACTTCATTCTTTTGAAGTACTTATTCCTCTTGAAAGATACAATTAATTTCTCACACATTTCTAACTGACTATCATCTCCTGTTGAAGCTGATTTTAGTGGGAAAATCTTTAAAATTCTGGACTAAAGATACTTACTATTAAGTTAACAGCTCCAGGCCTGATTCTCTTCTTGCCTATGTTAAACTTACTTCTACTGACAGATTTCCACAGAAATGCACCTGTTCAGCAGTTTAAATAACAGCTTTATCATTACTAGCTCTACGCTTTTATTTTTGCGCTGGTGTGAGGAAGGTAAGAGGGGAGTTTAACATCTGTTTTATTTTTTGATTTGTTTCAACTTTCCTGAAAAAGGAAACAATTAAAAAAAAAAGAGAAAGGGAAATATCCAGGGAGTAAGGACTTTTTCCACGCCTTTCTATCCCTGCTCTCCTTTGTTCTACATTCTCATGTTCATTTTTAAACGGACTGAAAAGGAATGAATAAGGCCAGGAGCTCTTTCACATCAGCTTTTTAACTGCAAGTTTGCTTGCAAATTTTTCAGAACATGACAGGTCATTTTGTTCTTTCTTTAGATAGTATCTACCATATTATTTAGCAAAGCCCAGGGATGAGGCTCTTTTGCATATCCCCAGCAATACATGTTCTCTTAATGTCTGTGTCCTGCTCTAGAGTGGTCTTCTAGCAATAGAAATTTCTGACTCTAAAATGCATGGACATAGTAGCTGCATGGATCAGCCCATTCATAGTTAGATATTTGCCCCGTGGCAACAGCTTACTAGACAAAATTCAATTTGTAAAGAATTCACATTATTTAAGCAGATTAGCCTAATAAATGTTATACCTGACAAACACAAATGAAAGCAAGTCACATATTCTACTCATCTTCTCACTGTTTTAGCTCTCTCCCTCTATTCTTCTTTGGATAGAGTGGTAAGTATGCTCCTCCTGTTACTTCCCTTACATTTCCTGAATATATTACCTGGCCATGCTGTGCCTTCCTTTCCCCTGTGTATTCCACTACTGCAGCTCCTGATAGCTGCAGACTTGCGTGTTATTTAATCTCCTCCTCTTATATAACAATGGACTTCCTCACCACTAGCCTTTCTCTGCCCAACCAGATGCATTCAAGTGGCCTCAAGACTGCAGTTTGGGAGCAGATATTCTAAGCACCCAGTTGCCCAGCTATCCAGTGGAGACACTTGGCTTCCACACAGGCCATGAACAAGGTTCTCCCAACGCCAATTTTTTGCACTTACGGATATATGTTAAGGTTAGCTTATCCTAGAAAAAGAACAGTGAGGAATGGTATTCATCATGGTCAACAGAGCAAGCTGCCAGAGGGATGCAGAAGCCTTTGCAAGTCTTGTGAAGAGAAACAGGTCCTCTCCTACTTTCTTACCGGTCTAGGCCGCGTCTCTCTCAGGAATGATTTCAGGTCACCTCCAGCCATGAGCTCTAGCAGGATGAAACGGGGCAATGCCTGCAAGCTCACCCCGATACAGCGCACAATATTCTGGTGGTTGAACTTGCTGTGGAGACAAGGAGCCTCAGTTATGAAATGGCTTTGATCCAAAAAACACAATTACAGAAAATAACGAAAACATTCTGCTGGGGCTGGGAGGAGGAGGGGTGTTTTTTTTCAAAATAAGTAACAAAACTCAAAGGCAGGGTAGCGGGACAAAGTCAGAGCACTGCCCTTGTACTTTGTTTCTGTCCTACGTAGTGCGGAAATAAAGAGTGGGAAGGAGGGCCTTTTGGCTCCTTTTCTACTCTCTTCTCGGACATCCTCTTTGGGCTTCAGCAAGCTTGTAGGCCACAGGAAGCAGAGAATATCTGATAACAGAGAAGAGTCTGGATTATTTTTCTCTCCTGTTTTCTCTTCACCCCAGTGAAGAGATTCTGCTGCTTCTCCTTTAATTTTCCTATCCCAGGAGGTAGAAGCTGGGCTGGGTAGGGTTGCTCCAGTAATAACGTACTGACATAGGAATCAGCTTACGCAAGGGATATCCTTCAGGGCCTCTCGATGCTTCCTTATTTCCCCAGACCTCAGTGCAATGGAGAAATATTTCCTTGGATTCTAGGACTCATTCACTGGCATGTGACGTGACATGACAGCAGCATTGTGTCAATGGCATCTGTTAGTTTTGAGTAGTCAAAGTGACATTCCAAAGGCTTGTTTTTTCTCATGCACTGGCCTCCAAGAAAAATCAGAGGAGCGCATCACCAGTTCTGATAGTTGAGCCTAAAGGTTTTCAATTTGGATAACGTAAATCAGTGTGAACTCTCCTGAAAATTTTGCCCTTAATCAACTGGTGACTCATTTTCTCCATTTGCAGAAGTAATAGCAACCCATCGTGAAATACTGAGAGCTGTTGCTAAAATTAGAGTATAAATATTTTTATGGACATCATCCCTCAAAGCACCTTTTATCCTACTACTGCTGTGCTTTGCAAGTCTGCACAAGTGCCTTTTCATCTAATTCAAACATACCTAATAATAAGAGCTTCCATGAGGAAGTCCAGTTCATCTTGCTCTGAACACACTTCTGGCAATGTCTGGAAAAGAAAGAACAGGATGACAACGAGAAGGTATTTAAACTTACAAAGTGAACGCCTGGTGAAATCAAAAGGACTATCATTGTTTGCACTGGTCCTTGTCTCTCTAAAAGAAACCTCAGACTATGGTAATGACTAGACCATAACTAAACTAGATTGTGAGGCCTGCTGAGAGGCACGTATCACACAGAACATACGGTCCATTAATGCTTCTGTCATCCTTCTCCCAGCAAAGCCCACATCATCAGAAGAAATACCCTCAAATGTACAGGGACCAGTGCTGAATACACGGGACTCTACTGTGTAGGGGAGAAGGAATGAGACCATAGCACTTGAGCTCTCAGACAGTTCCGTACTGCTACCTCCCATCAAGAGTATATAACCAGCAGTAGGCCTGTGCTGCTATGTAATCTGTAGAAGGCAAGCTAGCTAGGATGCTGAAGGCCTGAAGAACCCTACTAGGGTCCCTTAGGATTCAGCTATGTACACAGTGCATATCCAGCCTGTAATGGAGTGGTGAGATCCCTGAAGAACCAGCCATCTCCTATATCTGCAGGCTCTTTGATGTATGTGCCAAGTGCTCCTGGCCACGTGAAAATTTTTGGCCTGTGACTCAAAGGCTCTGGACAGGTTGCCACACCAGGTGTTGCATGTGCAGGATGGACAGAGGACAGATTTATTTCTGATCTCTGCGGTCTACTGCAGCTGCATGGGAAACCTTTATCTATTGTTTAGAGATTTCTTCTTAAATAGTCTCAGAAGCCCATATGCGGTAAGCTGTACCATCTCTATGATGGATAGAAGTGTTGCAATACAGCTACAACCTCTCTAACTGTGTCCTCCAGTGGTGTAGTAAAGCTTAATTCAGCTCCCTTTTTCTAATGCGCTGGGACTCTTGGGTGAAAGGTGCACAAAACCATCATGACAACTCATACACTGTCACTTACTTTCACAGCCACCTGCAAGGGAGTGGGGTCGCTGGGGATCCCTGCCACCTGACCTTCATATACCTCACCAAAGGCTCCGTGACCCAAACCCCTGGACAGACCAGAGAAGACAAGAAGGTTTTACTACAGAGAACACATATACAGAGAACACTGTGGTCACAGCTCACAGAACGGGCTCATGTGTTTCATGGCAGTGAAACATGGAGAACTGGATGTTGGTACCGACGGCACCACTCTGCACACAATACGGGGGACCAGACCTTGATCTAATTTTACCTGGACCTACAATGTATTTAATTGGTAAGGAAAGCAATCTTCAAAAGTTAATGGTCCCCAGTGAAAACAACCTGCTGGCATTGTAGCGTGTAATGGACAGCACTCTTCTGTTGTGATGGTGCCAGTGCCTAGTGGTGGGTGGTCTGAGACATGCCAGTAAAGACAGGTCTTAAGTCTCGGTGTTCTTGTACCCTAAATATATCAACAATTCCCATGATGTTTATGCATCACCATTAAAGAAAACATTGAATGAGGAACTAGGAATGGTACAACGGTTCTCAGTGGATCTGAATTCTGAAGCTAGGATCTTTTACTGATTTATTGTGTGATTCTGGGTAAGTATTTTTAGCCACCCAGTTTTTTTTCACTAGTAAAGGGTGATGATAGTGCTTTGTAAAGCTCTCAACTCCAGGAATTTCTGCTGAGAACTGTTGTTGGAGTTGATCATATTATGAAACTTACAGTTTAATTTGAAGAGGGGTACAGGAAAATAAAAAAATGAATTAAAGTAATTACACACCAGATTAAAGAACCTGTCCTATCTCCTTGTGATACAGATTTTGTGTATTTGTCTGTTCAGTTATCAGTTAATGAAAGTTAAGTCAGCTGATGCCGTATGATAACAATATAGTGAGCCCTGGCAGACAAGGAGGCTGCATCCAAAATCCTGATTCCCTCTGTACGTTGCATGGGCTGCACTCTGGGCAACAGTAGCTTCAGCCTCCCAGAGACATCCATGTCTCTTAGTCTGAGTAAGAGGCACTCACTGAAGCTCTGTTCTGCAGTAACATGAACTTCCCTGGTAGACCCAAGGCTGGGCTGATAGTTGCACTGATTGTCTGTTCTCTTGTCTATTGGTGGACTGTTTTCACATAGGTTGCTGCCTTCATTCCAGTTCGAACAGGTGCTCCTAAGGGCAGCCTGCTCCGTTGTTGTACAGGCTCTGACTGTAGTCTTCCCAGTATAAAGAGCAGTCTAGGCAGTGAAATCACAGTGAGGATTTATCCTGCCTGTGACTCAACGGATGCTTTTAATTATACTTCGTAGGTATCAGCTCGAGACACCATTCTTAGCTATGCTTGACCCACCTCTTACGAAGTGAGGAAATAAAACAGTTCTCTACAGCTCATAACTCACCCTTGTCGCCAGAAGCCCACCTCCCCTGCCCCTGTCAATTCCCAGATGGATCTTCTGCTCTCTAAAGCTTGACACACATTAAAAAATCCTTTCAGAGCCCAAGTGACAAAGGCAGCAGCAGCACAAAGTACATTGGAAGCTTCCAGATGCAGTCTGGCAAGACCTGTAGGTGAGGGGGAATGAGACAAGAGCCAAAATGCATTGCAGACTGCATGGATTTCTGTGACTGTCATCTCTTTTAGTATGTCTCTTTCAGCTCCCAAATCTCTCAAGCTGTCCTGCTACCACTTCTTGGCTATTGATATAAGACTGCATGGTATCAGGGTAAAGTCATATTCATTAGTGGAGTGCACTGTATCCTGCACTAGGGCAAGGTGGGAATGAAGTCTTGATTTTTCAAGTCTTTCTTAGAGATTGCTTCCAGCTTTCCAAAAGTTCTGATCTAGACATTAACATGGCTTTCCTGCTTGCTTTAAATTCCTGTCCTTTCAAGACTGTCTGGCACCCTCAAACCCACTGCTTTTTGCTGCCACTGAACGTATGGTTGTCATTCTCTTTATCAAAGATCCCATCAAAGCCTTTAAAAGAGCCCCTACAAGCCTCAGGCTTTCCAGCATTTCATCAGTTAATACTGGAAATGGGCCATTCTTTGCACTGCCTGCAAGAGATGTGTCTGAATTGCTGGTGATGAGTCTTGTTCCTCCCATGATCCCAGAAGATCAACACTGCACCTGTAAAAGGCTAAGGAGACTCTACCAAAGTCTAATCCACTCTACGCAAACCTAACTACTGCAGCTCTGCAGCCTTTTGTGAAAAGGGGTGTAAGTCTCAAAGTGCATGAGTATTTGTGTATGCCTGCACAAGCGACATGAGTCCACATCTGTATAAGAGAGGCAGCACGTGCGAGTATACAGAGTGAGGCATGGGGAAGGCAAAGGTGAATTTACCGGATGAGGGAGATGTTTTTGCGAGGCACCTCTTTGAGGTCACTAATGGATGTGGTTTTTCCTGCAAAGCAGTAGTTGGGGTTGTAGTCTGTCATAATAGTGGAGGTACGCAGCTTGCTCAGTTTATATTCTGGGCTCTGTAACTCCATCTGCATGGCTTGCAGCTCTTGGTGTTTCCGACGATACACTAAATTTAGAGAACACAGGAAACTGGTGACACAGATTGCCTTTGGAACATGATGGCAACTGTGCAGCATATCCATGCTGGAATTAGCTGCATGATCAAATTCCAATGAATTAAAATAGCTGGTGACACTGCCATTTTTCTGTAAGTCAAATAATTAAACACAGAAAATGGAAGCTGAAATTATCCAGGAACTTCTCATTTACAAATCACAGTAAGAACCACGAACTTGCTCACGAACTGCTTGTAAAGAGTAATATGAATCTCACCTGCAGAGATCTGTGATTCGAAAGTTTTGAGTTTTTTTTGTTTTGTTCTGTTCAGTTTAGTTTAACCTGAGCTTTCAAATATGAATCCAGAACCAAACTTGAGGGAGCTCAGTATAAGCAGCTTTCCTAAATTGTGTAGAAGCAACTAAGAGTCTGAAATGAATCAACGCATCACATTGTTCAAAATGGATTACCTGTTAAAATAAACTCTTACCTCCAAATAACATAGCGTGCATAAAAATATTTCATTTTGCAAAACTCTATTTTGACTCAGCACAAACTGTTTCTAAACAATAGAATTGGACTAAATTTGAAATGACCTTATGTTAGCTTTTATATTCTTCAAATGAATTCACTGATACTTATGCAATGTCATTAGAAATCATACCTTGAGAGAAGACATCATGTGGATGTTCCTTGAGACCGTAATTGATATCGCTTATATTTTTTTCAAAGCAAGATGCCAATCATGAACAGGTTAAATCAATATTACCCTTACTGTTGATTTCTGTGGGAGTTGGACTGAGCCCACAGACTGTGACAATAATAGCTATTGTGTCTACTCCAGCAGATGTTGTTCAAGGGAAGAATTTAAGGGGTAAACGTGCACTGGCAAAGGCAGATAGATGTAACGACCTATCCGAAAACCCTCTCTCTCCTCCATTTTCCTCCTTATTGCTTTCACTTTCATTTCTTAAATCTCTGCTCTTTCCTGAGATGGGAATGATAGGCTGGTTGGAAGGAAAGTGGATTATTCTTCCGCTCCCTGAGAAGTAATTAATAATTTTTGAAGAGGCACTGTCAGGCCAGAAATGATACATCTAGGACCATATGTGTGCAACTGATAACTCCTGAAATTCTTAAAACTGAAACAGCTGTGCAAATCTAATTTACTAGCTACCATTTGCTGCTCTGGGTAGGTCCCTCCCCTCACCTCCCTCAAGGCTACATGCAGTGCGGACAAAGAAAGGTGACTGAGTTGCAGGTTGAATCCCTGGCTGCATTTTGTTGGTTGCAATCTATTCCGTTTGCAACCAAATGCGGGGGAGGAATTGTTTAAAATAAGAAAAGGTGAAAAACACCTTTAGAATTTCAAATGAAGATGCCAAGAACATCCACACCCTACTAAGGAGCAGTTTGTAAAAAGGGAACCTATGTGAGAATTTCAAGCTTAAATGGCATACGTTAGGAGGCTAAAGTTGTATATAGACACGCTAAAATAAAGAGAGACCTACTTTTACGTATGAAGTACTTTACGTACTTTTACTTTTACCAATAGCTTCTGTGAAAACCATTGGCAGTTGTGTTCTGGCAGCTTTACACCAAAAATTAGGCAATTAATTTTTGGGGTCTCTCTTTACACTTAACCTTGGCAAGTACTGAAACACCAAGCGTAAAATATTTGCTTAAACTAAAAGCAGCTGAAAAATCCTTGCTTTTTCAGCTTTCCTCTTGCAAAGACAACCTCCTGAAATTGGTCGTTGCAATTAGAAACAATTATCAAAATCAGCAGTTAAAGGGGGAGGTTATTAAGTACAGCTAAAAGCCTGAATCCTTTGGCTCCCCAAACATCTCCTGGCTGAGATGCATATATCATATGAAAACTTCTTGTGCTGAGAGGCACTTACCTATCATGATTCCTGAAAAAGCCAAAATTAAGGCAGCAACCAATGCTGAAGTCACTACAGACAAGACCAAGGAGAGAGGGAGATGAACCACCGGCTCTGCTGTAACAGAGACATGAAAAAGGAGTTACACGTTTGAAATGATCTTCCAGCAGCCACTTTTGGCAGACAGATTTTTTGGCTTTTCCTTCCATTTACTCATCTGCCACTCATATTGTGTAGGAGTAACCTCTGACATGATCAGCTCTCTGGATCCGTGACCTCTAATGTCTTACTGTTTCACTTGCTTCAGTTAAGATCAAGCCATTAAAACAGATGGTTTGCTATTAGGGAATTAACATGTGTACTCCCTGAGTATGAAAATAAGGCCATAAAAACTGGGTGCATGAGGTTGGGGAGGCGGGAAGGACATTAAATTGCCAGGGCTAGAGCGCTGCTATCAATGCCAAATCAGAATAAAAGCAGAAGGAGGACTGCAATATATCATGTCCTAAATGCATTTAATCTTAGGCAGAAAAAATTGGTAACACTAAGTGTAGAAGAACATACATCACAGCTGAATCCTCGCTTTTGGAACGTTCTGCCTTTTGGGACTGCAGAGCATTCGAAGATCATCTATTAAGGTTTACTTCACCCCTCAAAGTAATCATGCTTTTTATCCATTTTGCAGATGGGAGTAGTAAAAAATATAAACAATGTTGTTCATGTCAGTGACAAAGCGGAGAACAGGATCCCAAAAACATGGAGTCACTTGTTCCAATTGCTGGACAAGAATATGAAGAAAACCTTGTAATGGAGTTCATAGCATTTATTTGGTTTACCAAAAGAGGCAAGTACAGGGATTCTCCTTGGTTTTGCCCAGAGATCTCTCATGCAGAATTTCTTACAGACTCTGCATAGGCACCTTAGGTGTCCGAAGTCACAGGAATTATTTTCTCCTTTCTCTCTAACTTGTACTTTTTGCTGGTTGTAAGAAGTCTAACCTGAAAAGTTAAGTTTAGCTGTAAAATTCCTTCAGGAAGCAAACTTTCGTAATTTCAGAGCAGAACGTGAGCATCAGGGCAATTGGACAAAACACTCTTGTGCTTTGACCCTTGAAGATAAAAATCTGACTCAACACCTTCAGTGCTGCCCCGTATCCCAAACACATACTGTAAACTAAAACAGTGATGCTGCTCTGTACACCGTGCCTCAGCACTGATGTATCTGTATTCTAGCAAAACACTCTTCTTTTGAAGGTAACATTCAACAGAAGCCAGTTTTAAAAGACAGACTAGATAACACTTTTAGGGTGTCTTACCGTCCAAGCAACAAAGATTTTTACCACGCATATTCTCTACCGCATTTGCTGCCAGCCTACCCCACACCTACTTACCTATGCAAGACACACCATCCTCAGCCAAGTCTGTGCCTGGCTCACAAAAGCAAATGACTTTTTGAGTCTCAAGATCAACACGGCACTCGTCCATCTCACAGTGACTGCAGTTCAGGTGCAGCCTAATTTCCACTTCTCCGTGCCCCTCTGTCACTAGGGAGTGGATGAAAGAAGCTGAGTTAGTTATTGTGAAGACCACTCATATCTTTCCCCCAAGCACTGACAGAAACAGGGAGCATGACAGTCTTGGTTGCTAGATCTGGCAGGATGGGCCCAATTTGAGAGAAACTGCTCTTTCTCCACTTTCCATGACTCCTGCCCTCTTCTGACTGTGCCTGAGCACTTAGCGAGGGAACACTAGGTGAAAGTCTTAACTGGCAGTTTTCACGTACAAAACAATATCCAGCTAAGTTAGCCCCACTGCAGCCGAGTTGCACTGGCTCTCTTTTAGCAGTGAGTTCCACCAGATTAGCAAGGGGGCTGCTGCTGAGCCTTACAGTGGTCTGTGGGGCTTACCCTTTCTCTTTCCTGACTTTTATGCGAAATGCTCCCCCTGAGATCAAACAGCGCAATGCTTTCAAAACTTTCTTTTGTTTTGGCTGAATCTATTAGGCCAGAGTCAGCCTGTATCTGAAGACACTTCTAGCTGTTCTAAGGCAAATATTTCTTTTGAGCAAACAGATATTTTCATAATTTTGAACACAGGGAAACCATATCTGAAACACTGACTTCCAGGCAAACCCAGGCCTTAGGAAGGCTGCAGTGGCAGTATTTATCAGCCCCTCACACTGCTGGGCAGTGCTGCACAGTTTTCTCTAGGAATTCTGTGGTCCAACATCAATGCTTTGCTGGGGGATGCTCTGAGGAACGTGCCTGTTAGTGAACAGTTAGCCGCTTTGTCTCCTTTTTAAATTACCTGAACTATGAAGTTCTATTACCACTTCCTTTGGGAAAATTATTCTGCAGGCAGGTAGATCTTATTGCAGGGAAGTATCTCTTAACAGCCTTGATCTTCTCTTTATCTGCTTTCTTCCAGTTACTTCTGTTTAATCTCCACTGGACTTTGTTAAGCAATCTTTCTCCCTTTTCATGTTCATAATGACACTAAGTTGTATCCAAAGGCCCTCAAAGCGTCTTACAGATGCAAACTATTTCTAACAGGAAAGAAACTCACTAGAAGAGACTTCTGACCAACATGAATACCTTTAAGTGCTGGAGTGTATAAAGTACCAATTGGATTAATAAAGGACACACCATCCTCCCCATCCATCTCTGGGTCATTGTCCACTGCAGCATTGCCACCTACATCAAATCAGAAGTTACCTTAACAGACTGAGGCTCATTAGCACTAAAATACAGACAAGCATTGCAACATGCATGACCTCAATATGTTTAGAGAAGCATCCAAATGAGAAAAGAAAATAAATCAAAGTATTTACATACTAAGAATACTTAGTGAGTTGTGGTATGAACCACGTGCATTTCACTTCTAGAACTTCAATTAAATAGCAGCAACCTTTAACTTAATCAATTTTCAGCTCAGTTACAGGCAGACTGTTGCAAACTAAGGTACAGACATCACTTTTAACCATTTGGATGCTGTGAAAATGTATCAGCCCTTCTCATCATTAATGGGGAAGAGACTGGACTCTGGCACTCGAGGGCCAGTTCAGTACACCTGCTAATCAAGGTATGTACTGTGTCAGCAGAGGGAGCGAGTAATCTGATCTCCTTCCTCTCCTTTGCACCCTGAAAGCAGGGTAGTCCAGCAGGACTGGGGACTGAAGGAATTCACATACGAGTTGTCCGCTTGTGCTTGGGCATACAGAGTATAGCAAAAACACAGTATGGACAATACATCGAAGATACCAGAAGCACAGAGCACGTATTTTGTATTACAAGCATGCAAAGATCCCCCACCCCACCCCAAAATGGTATTTCCACTTTAACCATCTTCAACAAGGGGGAAAACACTCAGTGCAAATCAAAATGATGTCATGTGAGGTATTCTGTTGGAAAAAAAAAGCCATTACACAGTAAAACTGGTACAAAACATGCACTTAACCATTTACACTCATTACTTCTCTCAGGAATTCAAGCCAGTCATGGACTTGAATTAAGCTGTGGAGGACCAGGGGTTAAAAAGTCCACCACAGTGCAGATGGCTGAAGAATTTATGTGGCTCAGGAGATTACAGGTTAGCAGAGCCCCAAGATCTTGAATCTGGCCTACACCAGGAGTAATCAATATAATGCCATCTGACAGCTATCCTGAGACCTGCTGCACAGGAAATTAGTTCCTTGTTGACTGAAGTCAACACCACTGTTATCATTAAGAGGGGTCTTGACTGGCAGCTTGAGCACAGGAACCAAAGTACAGTGGAGCCACTCTACCCTTATAGGCCATCTGCGTAGGACGGAGGCCTACCCAGAGCAGGGCAGTGTAGAGGAAGCTATGTCCTTCCCCTGGCATAAGGCCTGGCTGCCAGTCTATAGCACCAAAGCACTCAAAATACAGGTGCTGGTAATAGGAGCACATAGCCTATTTCTTCAGCACTATAAACCAGAAATGGAGGCTCGAGAATCACAGCAGGATCTTGATGGCACATTTTTCAGAGTGCAAAGCCAGGATTACAGCTGAAGGACTGACATCTGGCTATTTGCTCAAAGACTAAATATCATACGTTCATCTAGTGCTAAAAAGGCAACACACAGACATACTATTACATAACAGTCAAATATGCTAACTACAGGAGAATTATCTATCAGCCTTTTGCTGACCATTAGCACTAAAGGAGGGGAAGGGACACCTTGAACATGAAGCCACTTTACCTATATATCCTCCGCCTCCTCCACCTGAGGAGCACCCCCCTCCACCCCCTCCGAAACCCCCTCTTGTCTCCCACCCCCACTTCTTCATGGCCTGGGGGCAGGATCTTCCTCCCGTAGCACCTTCCAGCAAGGATTTTCCTGACCACAGGAAGGAAGTGTTATCATTCCAGCCACCTCCACCACCTGCAGTTAAGAGAAGAGAAAAGGCCCAGGCATGGGTTATTTTAATGTAAAAAGCAACGTAGAGATCTACAGAATGGACAGTCACTCAAAGCACCTCAGCTGAAAGTAAGACTCTCATTCCTTGGTTAGAAGAGGATATGAGCTTGCTTCACAGCGTTACAGTGACCTTTCCGTATGGCTTTTGAACACAACAGTTATCAGTACCTGTTTTCACTCACTAAACAAGTGGTATGAAAAGTGTTTTCTTCAGAATATGTAAAATGATACACCTCTCTACTCCCAGACCACCTCGTTTTGGCCTACCGAGCCTTCCCCTTCTCTTTTTGCAAAAAATACTTTTGAAAATCCACATGCCAGTTCTAATGTGAAACAAAAGCAATTTTAGTGGAAGGCTGTTAAAACATATCCCAGCCCTGCTCTAAATACAATGTACTCACCAGTGACACAGTTTCAGCTTTGCCGGTTGTTCAGTGCAAGGTCTCTTCAGAGAGACTGCTAGCCAGGGGGCAATTATGCTCTTTCTGCATAAGCCAGGGAAACTCTGAGTGTGTCTACACAGCACAGAACAGTGCAGGGAGCAGGATGGCCTCATCAGCATAGCATATTCCCATGCCAAACCGCTTTGTATGTCAGAGGTACTGTATTATTTTGGGAGAATGTTGCATTCCTGTGGCTACACCATCTCTGATACCCTCATTTAAGCCAATTATCCTGCACCGCGAATATATCCTACATTAGCATCTGTGTTATAAATCCATGTTCTCCTGGAACTGTATACTCATGGGTTTCACCTCCACTGTATGAGGGAGTACCACATATTCACAAAGTTTTTCTTGAAAAGAAATAGCTCTCCTTACCTGCAGCTCCTGAATTTCCATTCAGCCCTGGAATAGAGGAATCATTCTCCAGCCTTTCTGGATGAAATGTGTCTGTTTTGGCCCTGTAGGCCCTGCCACCACCTCCTGCCGCTATGATCAAGGGGACTGGTTCTCCATTCTCCATCTTAACAAGTTCAGAAGTAAAAGCAGTGTTTAGGCCGAGTCAGACGTGCAAATGGAAGTTCAACCACACACTAGTTACTGCATGTTGCACTAAGCAGGCATCCAGGACTGCTGAGCAGCACAAATTACCGTTGCATTATTTACGCATCCACATCCGAAAGATTAATGAATAGCACTAGCCCTACCAAGTCAGTAACAAAGAACAGTGGCATCAGCAGTTTTCTGAATTGCTCCTACAGTGCTGATGGCTCTTATAAAGCTTATAATTTTATCATCTGATGAATTTCATCAAACGAAACAGCTCTAAGGGACACTGCTCTATCTAGTACCATATAGTATCTCCACTGGTAAAGAATTGCTACACTGGAAACTGAGCATGCAGAATTAGGCAGAATTATGTAGAAGCTGGCTGATCTAAAGATATTATTAACACCTGAAATTGGTGTTCAGAATGACTACTGACTCAGCCGGTACAGGACAGGGACCTACAGTGAAGATCCGTGGCCTCTGGGTACAGGGTTGCCCCGAGAACAAAACGTATAACTATCCTCAACTTTTCTTATGTTGTTACATTGCATAAACCAAATCCTGTAGCTGGGGTCTTATGTTCTGCAATGTTATCCTGGAAGAAAGTCCTGTGGAATTAGCCCTTCGCTGTAGGATTATCCTTCAGCATCTCCACTTGTATTAAAAAAATATCATTATGATTCAAATCATTATGTTTGCAAAGGAAATCCCAAGCCACGAAAGTAAATACAGACATCCATGTAGCAGCAGTTCTAAAAGGTGGGAGGAGCCATCTGAGCTCACTACAGCGATCAACTGGAAATGAAACAGACCCGGATCTCACTTTGTTGCCCCTTCCCCAGACCCAGCTAAAGGGCTCTCAAGCATTTCAGGCTGTGATGCTGGAAGCAAACAGCAGGATGTGTTCGTGATGAAGGTGCCCAGGGACTATGTTTCCATACCTTAAATATGTACGTTGCGCCTCCCCCACCTCCACCTCCTCCTGCCCATTCATTAACACTTCTGTTCACACGTATCTCTTCTTCAATCACGTTGTTCTCTCCAATGCAGACTTTCTGTATAACGTCATTAGTCTGCAAACAGAAGAGCAGAACCGAATTCTGATAAGAAATCTCTATGTCCTTTGATACACAAAGGCCTCATGGTCCCTTCACCCTGCCAAACCACTGGTCCAACCCATTGGCCTCCAACGAAACTACATGAACAGAAGCAAGCGAACACTCTTCCATAAAAATCTCACTTTTTGCTCCAGTCCTGGTCAGAAGAATTTTTTGCCATTTTAATGGAACAATTGTCAAGTGAGTTCGCTGCTGCTGCCACCTATTACCATGTAAAAGAGCTCCACAAGCTTTTTACACACAGGACAGCAAAAATTATGGCAAGCGTTTGCTAGCATTAACCATCTGCATTTCACAAGTGGGAGAAGGGAGAAACTCAGAGATGACATGATTTGCCCCATATTTCTCAGCAGTCAAATTGCAGAGCCAGGGAGAGAACCCAGGTTTCTTCTCTTCCAATGTCCCACCACCTGGGGCCAGGCAGCCAACACAATTCTGGCCAGAGCGAAGACCTGTGGCTCATGTAGATGTACCAGATCTAGCTTTAACCTAGGTAGTCATAGTATTTACAGTACCAATGAGCTCAGCATAGCTTAGCCACCTAAGTATTTATCTAGCCTTCCAAGCAACTTTTACTGTTTATGTGAAGCGTGTGCTGCAGCAGCAATTTTACTGTAATTACCAGAGCTAGCTGGTTCAAAGCCTACCACAATAGTGGCAGTCCCACCTTTGACTGCAGGGTTGACACGAGGTTAGAGAAAATACCTGACTAGAAAGCCTCCACATTTCCTAGTCAGTAATTTTTCCCCTCCGCCAATTAGCAACACATGTAATGAATCTTCTGTATTACGCAGACCACTGAATTCACCAACTGCTTTCAAACACAACATTAAACCATCATTTCAAAGTACTTTCAGACTATGACCTAAGAAAGCTAATTGCTGCTCTAATGTTAAATTAAGGGTATTTAAGTGCGTGACAAGCAGGACTCTGCTGTGGGTATTTTTAAGTTGCAAGCTCTGCTTCCGGTTCATTTTGCTTTATAAGTTTCACCTGATTAACACCACCTTGTTATGTACACTGCACTCACTAAGTTAATGAGACTTAAATGGAAAAATGTATAAATAATATCTGCTATAGTAGAACTCTCCTTCTCTTTCTTTCTACTTTTACATGTGGGTCCTCTTTTGGAAGAGGAAGAACATCCTCCTCAAGTTACAAAATGTTCTGTTGACCATAAAACGTGTCCTAGGACGTGCCAGAGAACCACTGGCATCCATTTTGTGTGCGTGTATGTGTCTATGGAACTAAACAATCCTCCTTTCCCCCAGTCTTCCCAATCCTTAATTGATCTGGAGTTGGGTAGGGATGATTAATAAAATGACAAAGTCAATGACCCAGAGGAGCCACTAGATTACAATTGAATTAAAAAAAAAAAAAATCTGTCATGGCAAAGGCATAACTGATTACAATCCAATCTAGTAAAAGTCCCTTCTACAAGTCAATGCAATCTCTTTGCCTCAATGAAAGAATTACATTAGCACTCAATAAATTCTCACTACGATTACAGTGGCCTGCAATTTAATGAGTCCATATATTATATTGAGCTTGAATGTCCCAGTTATAGACGCTAGATGGAAGTTTGAGCTAGCACATTTCTCATTTCTAAGAGGCTTCACATTAATGGTTTGTTTGCAGACGTGTATTATTCCAATTTGACATTATTTACTTGAGCACCCAGCCCTGAGAACCCCTCTTTCCTACATCCTTCAACCTTTCTCTGTTGTAAAAGACAGCTTAGACTTCCTGTCTTGGATGCCAGCCATGTAATAGTTCAGAAATGGAACAGCATCTAAAGGCCCAGCTCAAACCTGTAGGTGAAGTTTCATCAGATAATGCTTAGTTTCTTCCATAGGAATCTCCTATTCCTTTATCCTCCAAGGAAATGAACACTAAAAGATAAACATATTGTTGTGCCTGCAAACGGCAGAAGTTGCACCTCTCTCTCAAGTCATTCACTGCAATGCATAGTCAGTAACACAAAAATCAGACTGACCCAGCAGTAATTCATTTCTCTCTCCTATTCACATACAGAGCATAACCAAACAGGCCCTTTGAGGCGGGTCTCTCCAGAGCTGCAAGGTATTATGATAATTGGAAGGGCTGGGCTCAAGACCAGAGAAAAGACGAAGCCTTGTGAAGTCAGCCTTGAAGCCTGGTTTCCAAAAGAGAGGAAGCAGGTTGTCTTTCCTCTCCCAAAACCCACACAGATGCTTTGAGATATGCAGACCAATCAGATGCCTCTAGTTTATTACTAATGGGGCCTGAACCTCGAAAGAGAAAGCAAGCATAGTTACATGGTATTTCATCTTTTGACATTCATGCCCCATCAGCAAAAGAAAAGCTACCCCTTGAACCATATAATCTAAAACCATATAATCCTCAAGGACCTCAGTCCTCAGAACTATCTAATCCTCAAAGGTAATGTGTTTTTCTGCAAACAAACAAAAAAACCTTTACAAATTTGTAGAACAGATTAAGGTAAAACAGAAAGGGCAATCACTTACACTAGGACAAGCATCTTCGCCTTGCTGTCCCACCAAGATATACAAAGTATCATCCTTCTGGAGGTCAAAAATTCCCAATACAGACACGCCATGGGACCGCACCATGGTGTTCTTCCCTCCTTTTCCACCAGCAGCTCCATAGCCTGAGATGCTGCAGGAAAAAGAAAACAAAAACTTTGCACTAGATTTGTCGCAGGCAGGTGGAATGTAGTACAAACGACTTCTGAGCATGGCGTGCTCTGAACACCTGAACACAGTGTCACAGGGCCTTGCCCCAAACACCTTACACTCTAAATACAACTCTTGGGCAAACACTTGCTGAGCCAGTGAGCAAGGCCCTGGAGTTTCAAACTTTAATATACCAAACACCTCTTGTTTCCCGGAAGGCATACCCTTGAGAGCTTTGCAGCAAAAAATAGAACGGAAGCAGAACCGATGAGTACAGCACATATGGCTAAAGATAACTTTATGCAAGAGACTGACAGGAGGAGATTTGAGAAAGCAGACAACATAACTGGTCCTGGTAGTGTGGACCAGATGGGAAAAAGCTCTCCTGTTCCCAGGACCAGAGGAATACAGAAGAGTAGATGGACACAACACTATCTGCAGTAAATAAAGAAGGCAAAAGCTCTCTGGTTTTCTGGCCTAACTCAGCATAAGCATCACAGGCTCCAGCTAGGTTGCTTACACAGGTTGCCAAGGCTGCTGCAGTCTCAGTTAAGGCACTGTGATTTTTACTTCAAGCAGTCAAGGTTCAGAGGTCCTTACTGCTGCTGATGTACCCGCAGATTTGACTGTGCCACTATGTTGCTCAGGTTCTCCCTCTCTCTTTCTAGACACATGAACAATTTACATATTTGAAGTAGTTTTCATCCAAGAATTTCAAAGCACTTCACAAAGATCATGGTAAAATGCACGTCTCTACTCCAAGAAAAATACACAGTCACCTGACTTTACTGACAACTGAATAGGGGTACAGCAGACTCATTGTAAACTTGAAGTAACCAGGTGATTCTCCACTGACTTTGATAGTTTGACAGTGATTTCCATGAGAGCAAAATTCGACCTAGAGTGTGTGAGCAGTGACTGCAGGGCTGAGAATCAAAACTTCCTCCCAGCTTCCTACTGGTTACATTAAATGTGCTCCTCTTTAAATCTCTTCTTTCCTCTGGCACATGGTTGGTACTCTGCCCAGCACAGCCCTGCATGCAAACAGGCTACAAGCAGAACAAACCAGCAGTGCCCACAGTGCATGAATGCCCTGAACAGGTCGGGATGGCAACCCTCCACGGGACAGCCAGCTTTCTTTCACCCCAACTTCTTGCTTTAACAATTAATGTGAAGATCTCAACTTGTGATACCACTCCAAGGCAGTAAGCACAGAGCACTTAGGATGTCGAAGAAACTATGGGGCATCCAGAGCCTCATAAAGCAGACTAGGTGCTTGCAATGTGACAGGATTATGTTCATGCCATTCTTGATGACCAAAGCAATCATTCCTCAGTAAGGCTGCACTGGTGCCAGCAGACAAAGTGATGGACACAGCACTGGGCTCCTCTGAACAGATGCTGTGTGAATCTGAAGACACTGAGTTGATTTGCTGCAGAATTTTGTAATGGCTAATGGGGTGCACTATCACGCACAGCAAGCTGGCAAGGCTAATCGGTGGCAATTAGGGACCATATTTTTCTGTGTATGAACAGATTTTGCGTACAAGCGATGATGTCGGGAAGTTCAAGAGAACCCATTTCTGCCTCATTCAAACACTGCAGATAAATAAAAAAGGGTAGACGTTCTCTGTTCGAAGTAGGTGTTCAATTTTTAAACAGACAAGTTATCTTGTCTTCAAGTTATAACAACGATCATTCTCTTTAAGCATACCTTTCTTTTACAGGAGAGAAGATTCAGAGCACCGTGAGCAGAGATAACCAGAACACAGATTGCCTTACATTGTCTTCTCCCTTTTCTTTTACTGTGGTATTTGTCGGAACTGAAAAAGAAAACTGTTGTCTTCAGGAAGGATCAAGATGAGCAAAGGGCACTGGCTATGCAAAGCAGGGCTGGGGAAAAAAAATCCATCTCTATGTGGACAGGTTACAGGAAACACTGGAGATAGTTCTGAGAGAACGAGAAAATGCAGCGCCAAAGCTGGCCGCCCAAGAACATCTTGTGTTCTACTTTCTTGTGCTTTTGTTCTACCTTACCAAGAAGGGACCAGAGATAAGAGACGACAGTGAAAGTGACCTCAGATGGGGCAAGTAGCAAAACAGACCAATGGGTCTTGTTTCAGAAATGGAAAGAACTTTGGTAATGGATGGTAGCAAGCGTAACTTGCTCCCTTCTCCCATACTTGATCAGAGCCGTAGATATGGAAACTTAGAAGGAAACCTGAAAAAAACCTGTGCTTTGATATTGTATAGTACAGTATATATATCGTTATATACTATGTGCAGTCCCATGGGAGCAAACCAGCTGCTTTTGTACCTATCAGCAGTGGTGCATGTAGGACACCAGTCTTGAAATGAAGCAGTCTTCAAAGAGAGGCAGCTTACTCAGACCTCCATAGATGGTGGGGTTTTCTGAGTGTGCTTAGCTTCTGCTAGCAGAGTTTTGTGAACAGCTATGCTTCCCCTCTTTGTGTTTCATTAAAGCATATTCTACCTTATGTTCAAACAATCCATATCCTTCTTTTGTAAATATGAGGAACGTAACACCTCCTGTACTTTACACAGTGTGAAACACCCTGATGTGGCATACCAACAGCCTTCTGAAGAGCCCCGTCACCAGCTGGAGGGTTTTATCTCTGGGTCAGGTATATGGGAGATGGCTATCAGACTGCCTTCCAGGATTCTCAGTTCAGTAGGCCTGCAGCAGAGAACTGAACACAGACAGCGGGTCCAGACTCTGGAAACTGCCATTGCAACTTGACATTTTCCTAGGGGAGACTCTCCTGTCCCTTCAGCAGTCCAGAATCAGGAAGATGTCAAGTTAATTTAAGCCCACAATAGCCTCCCCTTTCCTCAGGCTGTAAATCTGCACTATAGCCTTAAGAGGTGCAGGAGAGAATGTCATCCCGTTATATATAGGTTACCAGTGACAGTAGCCATTTATTATCTATATAGAACCTAAAAGTCAGTTAGGTGGTTTATAGAACTTAAATAGGCAGGTCCTCCCCGCAGGAGTCTCATTTCACCCATGGCTTGTATTGTGCAGCAAAAATTAGCCCAGAGATGCGCTGGAATTTTGACTCTTTCTTGGCTGCGACCTTAAAGAAATGACAACGCTGTAAGTTCATTGCCTCTACTCTTCCGGGCTATACTTTATATCCATATTTACTGAATGCCAGTCTTGGAAAATTCTATTTACCTCAGGCAAGTCATTTTTTGATAGCTGAGTAAAATATCATTAGCGCTTTTTTCATTACCATCAATCCTTGTGGTAAGAGGCACTCCGGCAGAGCTTGCGCCTAGCCTAGACAGTTTCTCAAAACTGCTTTGCAGCAGACTTGCCATTCGAGACTGACATTGACCCCCCAATATTACTATTCTCTTCCAACAAAAAGAAAAAAAGAAGAAATCAGAAGGCGCCCGTAAGTTTTAACTGGAATTTGTCCAAAGTCTTCAGTTCTGCTTAAAAGTCCATCGTACTATTACTGGTTTCAGTAGGGAATGCTGCATAGAAAACCACTAGAGGGTCACATTGATTTCAGCAGATAGTTTTGCTTACAAACTGATGCATGTAATGGTTTGATGTTACTGCTCTGATACAGTGAACTAAATTTCGATTGTAATTCTTTCTCCAGCAAGAGCAACAAGAAAAAATGATTGGTAAAAATCTGATCAAACAACCTTGAATCGTATCTGATCATCTCCCTTCGAGGATAACTGCATAGCGGGATTTAAGCATGATAACCTCCAGTATCACAAAGCCTAACCTTTAGGTGGCTGGCTTCCAAAATCACTTTTACAGTGGTGAGCTAGGTTTGCAAGCTATCCCTCATGAAATACTGGCATATGATTGTACCTCCTGTACCAGGTAGACAGCGGGGAAAACCCATTCTGATCCTGGAGTTCAGCTGAAGGGATAGAGGATATATGCACATCCCTTGGCCTGGGGAGGTCAGAACATTCAGTTTTCAGTTGCTTATAAAGCCTTCTCAAACTGCAGCCGTTTAGGCTGAAGATTTCTCTGCCTCAAATTTTTTGTTTCTCTTTCTTTCCTTCCCTGTTTCACCAAAAAATTAAGTGCTGTTTAACATAAAAGTCCAAAAACATAAGTGTTGAGCAGTTACAAAAACTTGCATAACAGATTTCTAACCTACTTTTTGAAGCAGGATTGCTGCTGCATCTGCTAGACAACAAATCTGAGACTGGAAAGGCTGGAAATCACAGTATCAGGGAGAAGTAAAATCCATGTAGGTCTGGCCAATTTTCTGAATAATACTTTCTAATACTTCATATATAGCTAGTACGCATATGTAGTCGGGAGAAGTTTCAAAGCCAAAAATATATCATGAGAATAAGAGGCAGTTCCCCTACCTGTAAGTGTTGGTTGCTGGTACTCTCCAGATCTGAATGCCTTGGAGAATCCCCTCAGTGCCTACGATTACACTGAGGTTGAAGTTCCTGTAGGCATCGTTGCATTGGCTCTGTGTGGGCCCATAGGGTCCGCTGGCACCACATGTTGTGAATAACCAGTGATCTGAAATGAGGACATATACAAAGCATGCTCTGAATACCCAAGGATCAAATAACTATTCTGCTCTTTATTCAGTCTCTCTTGTTACTGGAACCAAAAGAAGAACCTGACACCTGAGGTTTTGACCGAAATAAAGACAGAATTCTTTCCAAAGACTCATAGCCCTGCGCATCTCAGTATATGACAGTTTTTCATCTACAGCTCCTCAAAAACATCACAACTATGAACACGGCTCTACTTTTTCTAAGGCTCACAAAAGTAAAGATCACAGAGTAGGGCAGAAGTAAAATGCAAAACACCCAGTCTCAGGCTCTGGGCTGCTAAAGCGAGCTCTCATAACCTCAAGAATGGGGCATTTTAGCCCTTTCGGCTTCTACAGACATTTGATTATTGAATCTATTTCACATGCAAAAGTAGCTGTTAATTAGATAAACACCTGTATATATAACAGTGATTAGGTTGTAATAATAAACTGATTACCTTTTGAATTTTGAATGTGAACATTCCAAATAATTTACCTAGAAGAGAAGGCAAGACACCCGAGATAACTGAGGCCCGTATGAAAGCATTCAGCCCTACATGTTCTAGGCCAGATCTGTGGGTGTAACTCTTCACATCTCTACTGCAGTCACTTTCATCAACTGGAAGTATTAGGCCTGTTGTAGATTTCTACAACAAGGCTTTACTGATTTGTGCCTCACAAACCTACACAGGAGGCAATTTGAATACACGAAGCTGAAATGTCATCCTTTTCCACAAAGATTCACTATCAGGGCCACTAAGACCACAATGCTCGTGTAAAATTCAGCCTAATATATTTGCTAGCATATTAGAAAATATTTCATAGGAAAATAGAAAATATTTCAATTCTCTTAGTTGCCATTGCCATTAAATAGAGATGATTTGAAACACATGTAAAGAGCATTATTTCTACAAACAATGTTGGGCCAGCCAGTCCTCCTTATGGCTTTGTCAAAGGCAGTATTTTTTCCTCCACTCCCACTAATGCAATACAGCGTATGCAGACTCCAGCAGTGATAGCACTAATTAGCTTAGACAGTGAAAGCGTTAGCTTAAACTGCTTTTTTGAGTGATTGTCTAAGCAGATCTGGCCTAGAAAAGATGGTCAAATTGTGCTTGCAATGTGAGAGGCGAGCAGTTCTACCCCCAATGTTACTGGAGGGCTTTGCCAACCAGAAATACAAGGAAGCTACTAGTTTAGCCAGGCAAAGGGTCTCAACTACCTTTTCACAAACTAATTCTGAAGTTGAGCTAAATTCATTGCTGTAAAACAGTTCAATGCATGAAATGGATCACATAATTTGGCAGGACTTTATGAAATGAAGTGGCTAGTATTCCTGAAAAAACCTTCATATTAAAATCTTTTCCAAGAATAATGCAAAACCTTCTGCTCTATGAAAGCTTCCCAATCTAAGTAGTGCTGAGAGAGTAAGCTCTTCCTTCTTATTCCAAAATCTATACCACTCCTCCTCAAAACTCCCCTACAAGGGACTGCTAGGGATTTTGCTATTGTTACTTACTTTTTATGTAAGCTTACATACTTATTTTACTTATTTTTCAAATTCTTCAGCAATTGGTAGCAGTATGAAGTCTTAAAATTATTAGACAGCAAATCGAAGAGTTCCCTCTCCTCCTCTGCCTCCCATGGAAAAACAAAACAATCCCCCAAGCAACCGGTAAAAGCACCTAAGAAAGCAAGTAGTGGCTAGAGGTTCCTATGCAAAGTGCTGGTTAGAGCTTCTGCACAAGGCTTCAGCAGCTCTGATCCTATAAATACTGAGAGTCTTGCACCAGAAGTTACTATGTTTATTATTTTTCTTGCAAAAAAAAAAAAAACCCTCAAACCAAAGCAAAACCCCACACAAAATGGAAGATGAGAGACTCATTCTGCCAGCTATCACAGCGATTTAACGCTGCAGTATCCCAGTGGGCTAAGCCAGCTGCACTGAAACATATGTTTAGCAAAGCAGGCAGGTTAAATGTCTCGGTTTGGAACAATAAGAAGCCATTCTGACGTCTCTTGTGAAACATCAAGCATGTTCCCAAAGGTAGAAGCAGGTGACCTTGAAGGGGACAATAAACTGAGAACATGAGAGAATCTAAATGGAAAACTGAAAGCGATGACACCTAGCAGTGAACACAGCATACGGATACTGTTGCCGTGGTCAAGCTCTGCATTTATGACTTACCTACTTTAGGTAAATTTCATTCTTTAAGTATCTGCTTACCGGACCTTGGCAAAAATATCTGTAGACTGCCACACATGTAAGGTCCACATGCACCATAGCTGGACCTAACGCTGGCAGCTCTTGACTCCCACTGGTTTCCGTGGATAGGCAATCAATAAACTACATAATTACTCTGAAATGCTTTTCACTGGCACTCTCTCTCCTTAAAAAGCCCAGTGCCCTTGTGGAGCAGAAAACAATGCCCTCCTGCTGTACGTTACGCCTCTAGACTTCAAACTGAAGCAACCAGAAAAGTTTTTGTACTTTCTGTCTCTTTGACAGACTATAGGGTGCTCACTTCGAGTGCAGAGATGACATCAGGGTAAGAGCAAACAGTGCTGGTAGTTTAAGATGAGTGAATGTGCATCTAAGCTCTCACAATATGGCTTTTAAAACGGAGTCTGAGAGGTCTGAGGAACTGAAAAGCCACAGATATATTGTGCCAGGGAGCATGATGTAAAGAACCTGGAGATGAGTCTGAACATAGGAGGTGCTGCCTTAGATTTCAAAAGCAGTCCTGATGTATCAGCACAGTGATACATGCAAACTTATAAATCCTGTGTCCCAGATCCTGCAGCTGGTGCAGTCAGCGCTAGCACACGTATCTAGTTGCTCAGTTTAGGTAAATACAAAAGGAATGGTAGACAGAAAAAGGAGCAGACGTGTTTCAGAAGTAGCAGAGCTGGGTAGTGACATTCACACAAAACATAGCAGGAGGAACTCTGGCCCAAGTGAAGTCCGTGGAAGACTGCAGCTGATTGAAGGCAAGGATTTTAGTAAAACCTAGAGCCAGTTGTTCCATGTTCTCTCATTTGTCACTGCTGCACTGACTTGCAAACAAAAGTCTTCCTCCTGTTTTAATTTCTCTTCCATATTTTACACCAAAAGCCAGTCCAACACGTAACAGCTTTATTGCGGAATTAAATGGGACAGAATACGGTATGGGGAAAAAATTCACCCCTCATTCAACATAATAAGGACGGATGGATCTTAGTTACAATTTTTGATTCAGACTAAAAACCTCACACTTCCCTCCCTCTGCCCTCTTGAAAATCTCACAAAGCCAATCCTCAATCTGAAGAGGTAACAGCAGTCAAAATTCTTAAACCACTAACCCAGTATCAAAACATTCTCAAAGTACTGTCTGCCTTAGCTGTGTCCCCCCCCCCACACTTTTAAAAATAAAAGTAGCCATTCCTTCCCTGTAAAGGATTGATTTTCTTCTGATTCTAGAAATGACTGCAGTGTCTCAAGAGCTCACAGAGAGCATTTCTACAGGTTGCTGCATGCCACAGCAGTTTACAGTAATTCAATTTTAAGCACAACTTTGATCTCCAAAGACTAAAGCAGCAGCACTGAACTGAAACTCCTTAAGCAGCTAGGACAAAAGCATAGATTTTTTCCATGACTGCACAACTGTGATCTGTCACATAACACAGAGCATACCTCTCCTTTGTTCTGCAGTATGTGACAGGGTAACGTTGCTGGCACTTCACATTCACCCCATGGATAGCTGCCAAAAAGCAGGACTTTCTGGTTTAAATCTTCTCAAAACAACTAGCAGGTTTTGGAAGTTTGCCCAACTTCACACAAGTTACAGATGCCTGGTTTCCAGAAGCAGCTGAGCATTCCCATGATGAAAACTAACAGGTAGACAAATGTAGGGTCTCTGATATGTTCTATCATTAGCAGTTGTGAATAAGAATGCTAATTGCATTTAAAAACTGAAAATTCCAATTTAAGGGAAAAAAAGAAAAGAAATGAAGATTCGCTGCACTGAGATTCAGAATTGGAATAATACATTTCAATGATTAATTTATACAGTAGTTCATTTGATGGAACCCACACTCCCACTGGAAACTTCACAGAGCAAATATTTGGTCGCCTGTCCCTCCACTCGCATGCATGTCCTCCCTAAGCTCCCTGGCAGTCTCCCCAGCAAAATGCTAAGGTCTAACCCACAGCATCTTGCAAGAAATGCAGCTTTGGCTCTGTTGAAATAGATTTTAAAAATTCCTTCTCCCCAACTTTTCTTTCCAAATTAGATTTATTTATATGTTTACACACACACATGTTCTTCCACTCACTCACTCGTGATTATTTTCCTTTGCAGAGCAGATATTCTAGTTTTTGCACAGCCTGGACTAGATAGGTAAAATGCACAATAATTAATGGCTCTGGATTTCAGTCACAGCACAGAGGAGGGACGTCCTGTTCTTGCAAAAGAAAAAGAAAAAAGCCACAAGACTTTAAATGACTAATTCTTTTGAGGCTCTGACACAACTTGCAGCCCAAGGTAGCACTGACGCAGGCACCGCTGCAAAGAACAACTAATAACAATGAACAGAACACAATCAAGCACATCTATACTGCAAAAGTAAAAAACAATTTCACTGTCACATATAGCACATAAAAATCATGCCATAAAACAATCTTTGGCATTTTAGCTATACTTACAGGCCTAAACGTATTAATTGGCATTGGTTGAATTAAGCTGGTTCGAACCTAGGTTAACAAAATGACTATCCCAAATGAAAACTTTATTGTGACTTGGGAAGATCATGTACCAAGCTACACGCTGCCTGTCTTATTTTCGAATGTAGAGTAACACACTACTGAGAAACATGAATGCTTTAAAAGAGAATGTCTAGGCAGCTTGTGGAACTCCCTGCTACAATCTCTATTGAGGCCATGAGGCTGTCCCCACTTCCGTTAGATAAAATAAACATTAATAAGGGCTCTAAGATCCTATGC